TTCAGTTGTGGAGAGAGCAACTATCTTCTGTAGTTGAGAAACCCAACTCACTGCGGTTCCTCCTAGAGTATAGACATACCCTGTAGTACTCCTTCTGATGTCAATATTTCCGGCTAAGTCAGCATCTACATAGCCTGTCAGTATCGTATCTCCACCTTTGAAACAAAGTGCTTTGTTTGTGGTACCCCGCAGATATCTGAGGATCCATTTGACTGCTTCCCAGTGTACCTTGCCCGGATTATTCATGTACCTGCTAACAGCTCCCACTGCTTGAGCAATATCTGGTCTGGTACAAACCATGGCATACATCAGACTTCCAATTGCTGAGGCGTACGACACCTTCACCCATGTGTGCACGTTCTTCCTCTGTCTTTGGTGACTGTTCTTTGGAGAGTCTGAAATGAACACCTAAAGGTATACTTACTGGTTTAGCATCTTACATGTTGAACCTGGAGAGTACTTTGTTGATGTACTCAGCTTGTGATAATATCAAAGTCCCTGACTTTGTGTCTCTCTTGATCCTCGTCCCAATAATCTGCTTTGCAGCGCCCTGATCCTTCATAGCAAACTGCTTTGACACAATTTTTACTTCAAGTTTATAATCTCTTGCATGTCTGAGCCTGCAACGAGCATGTCATCAACGTACAACAATAAAATAATGAAGCTATTGTCGAACCTCTTGATGTAGCAACAATGATCTGCTTGGCATCTGGTAAAACCACTGCTACTCATGAAACTATCGAACTTCTTGTACCACTGTCTAGGAGCTTGTTTTAAACCATACAAGCTCTTCTTCAACCTGCATACCAGGTTTTTCTTGTCTGCCTCTATGAAGCCTTCTGGCTGCCTCATATAGATTTCTTCCTCCAAATCACCATGAAGGAAAGCTGTCTTTACATCTAACTGCTCAAGATGTAAATTCCCTGCAGCTATAATTTTCAACACCAGTCTGATTGTAGACAGTTTCACGACTGGAGAGAAAATTTCATTGTAGTTAATACCTTCTTTTTGCTGAAAACCTTTGATAACCAATCTCGCTTTGTAGCGTTTGCTCCCATCGTGCTCTTCTTTGATCCTGTAAATCCACTTATTGTGAAGCGCTTTCTTGCCTGGTGGTAATTCAGCTAATTCCCACGTCTGATTTGACCAAAGCGAGTCCATCTCATCTTTCATAGAAGACTCCCACTTGACTGAATCCTCCACTTGCATTGCTTCATCATAGCACTCTGGTTCACCATTGTCAGTCAGCAACAAGTAGTGCAAAGAAGGAGAATACCGTTGGGTTGGTTTAGGAATTCTGGAGGAGCGTCTTAGTTCCGGTGTGCCTGGTTCTTCTTGAACTGCTTCAGGACTGATCTGAACATCATTTCCAGAAATCTCCTCAAACTCAGCAAATTCCTTTGTTTCAGCTTTGGTATTGGAGCTGCTTGATTCTACAGTTGACCTGTCTTTGTACATCACATTCTCATTGAAAATGACATCTCTGCTTCTAATGATCTTCCGATTTTCATAGTCCCAAAACCGGTAACCGAACTCATCACCGCGTAACCAACAAAGGAACATTTGTTGGACTTAGCATCAAGTTTACTTCTTTCAGCAGAGTCTATGTGTACATAAGAAATAAAACCAAACACTCTTAAGCGTGAAAGGTTTATTTCTTTCTTGCTCCAAACTTCATCTGGTATTCTGCCATCCAAAGGAACTGAGGGCCCACGGTTGATCAAGTAAGATGCAGTGTTGATAGCTTCAGCCCATAGAAATTTGGGCAATCCGGCATGTATCCTCATGCTTCTGGCACGTTCATTCAGAGTTCTGTTCATGCGTTCTGCTACGCCATTCTGCTGCGGTGTCATGGGAACTGTTGTCTCCATCTTGATCCCATTGTTTGCGCAAAAATCTCTGAATCTCCTATTTCTGTACTCTCCTCCATTGTCAGACCTCAACCGCTTGACTTTCATACCAGTCTCATTTTCCACCATGGCCTTCCATTTTCTGAAGGTATCAAAGACTTCTGATTTTTTATTCAGAAAATAAACCCACACCTTCCTTGTAGAATCATCGATGAAGGTGACATAATATAATGAGCCTGCAAGAGATGGAACTGGAGATGGTCCCCATACATCAGTATGAACTAACTCTAACATTTCAGCCTTAGGTGTCTTACCAATCTTTGCAAAGCTGACTTTCTTTTGTTTGCCAAAGATGCAATCCTCGCATAGTCCGACATCTACATTCTTTAGATCCGGCAACTTCCCCTTTGACAAAAGTGTCTTCATCCCTTTCTCGCTCATATGGCCAAGCCTTTGGTGCCATAGGTTTGATTTTCCATCAGCATTTGCTACTGCAATGATATTCTCTAAATTTGATGTTATATAGAGAGTACCAGTTTTCTTACCACGAGCAATGAAGAGTGCTCCTTTGGTAATCTTCCATTCACAGCCTGAAAAGGTTGTGCTAAATCCTTCACCATCAAGCTGTCCTACAGAAATCAAATTTCTTTTGAGGCCAGGAATATGTCTCACTCCTTTCAGCTTCCAGGTGGTTTGGTTTAGCAACTTTAGTCGGATGTCTCATTTTCCGACGATCTTTAAGGTTTCATCATCAGCTAGATGAACCTTCCCAAAATCACCACTGACATAATTTTCCATGATTTCTCGGCATGGGGTGGAGTGGAAAGATGCCCCTGAATCTAAGATCCATGATTCAATCGGACTGTTGACGCTTAGAATCATGGCATCACCTGTCTCCTGTCACGTTGGCAGATTCCTGTGCGTCGGTATTTTTCTTCAGTGCTCGGCAATCTCTTTTAAAGTGACCCTTCTTGCCACAATTATAACAGGTAAAATCTTTCTTTCCCGTTGTAGATTTTCCCCGTCTGGATTTCGATCTGCCATGATTTGAATTTCTTTCTGAAGTTCTCCCTCTGGACTCCGTGTGCAAGGCTGAGGAGGTTGATGCTTCACCCGATTCTCTCCGTCGAATTTCTTCGCTCAGTACCAGATCCCGAACATCGTCGAATTTTAATTTACTATTTCCCGATGAGCTGCTAACTGCTGTAACAGTAGCATTCCAACTGTCTGGTAGAGATGATAAGAGAATTAAAGCTCGAACTTCATCATCGAATTCAATTTCCACTGAACTCAACTGAGTTGTGATTGTGTTGAGTTCATTTAGGTGTTGTGCCATCGATGCCCCTTCCGCCATCCGCAAATTGAATAATCGCCTCATCAAGTGCACTTTGTTTGAGGCTGATGACTTCTCATACATACTGGAGAGAGCCGCCATAAGACCCGCCGTGGTCTTTTCCTTTGCTATGTTGAAAGCAACATTGCGAGATAACGTCAGTCGGATAACTCCGAGGGCTTGTTTGTCGAGAAGAGCTCAGTCTTCATTCTTCATGCCCTCTGGTTGCTTTCCTGAGAGAGGTTGATATAGATTTTTCTGGTACAGAAAATCTTCAATCTGCATCTTCCAAAAGCCAAAGTTCGCACCATCGAACTTTTCAATTTTCACATTCCCTTCGTCTGCAGCCATCGCTCCCACTCGAATCTGGTTTCGTTTGGATCGTTTCTGACAATTCTTGCGAACCACCGTGTATTAGAACACCTCCGTCGACAAATTTGTATCGCCGATAAAATTTTACTATTCACGAAATTTACTATTCACGTGAATAGTAACCTCGCAAAAATTGACAAAATTCACAACCAAAAGCTCTGATTACGAGTTGTTGGGAAATAAACCAAGTACAAGTAATTTTCCTATAACCAGATTAGTGAGAATGCGAAATAAAAACGGAAAAATAATACCCGAAATTGATAATGGAGTTCAGCCAATTTGCTTACGTCTCCGGACTGCTGCAGATCTTTTACTAAGAGAGAAAATTTACAGGTGTTTACAAAACACTCACTACTGACAAGAAAGCTCTCTAGTATTGGGAGAAAGAAATGATTTTTGGGATGGTTTTGAAGCTAAATGAGCTAGGGTATTTATAGTTAAAATTTAAGGATTTAATATTGTAAATACCCTAAATCCTAGGGATTAATTGTAATTATCTCATTATCATTTTTCAACAAACATCTATCAAACTTTGAAAAACTATTTTTCAAAGAAACATTTACCAAACTTTGAAAGCCATTTTCAAAGAAACATTTATCAAACTTTGAAAAACATTTTTTCAAAATTAATTACCCAACTTAAAAACCATTTTAACATCTTAATCAGGTTAAAGATCAACTCACCCACATTTATTGCCTTCCCGTCATTGGACGAAACAGCTCTAACGAGATTCTCCACTTCATCTCTCACGGATTCCCATGACTCGGCTCTTTTCCTGCTGAAAAGGTTCACCACGCAAAGCTTCCTCATCTGTCGCCAGAACGGTCCGTAATGGGCGAAAGCCATGTCGGCCCTGTCGTACGTTAAATAGCTGATGGCGATGGTGGCTGGCCTGTTGGAGAAGATACTGTCGTGAAACTGAAGAACTTGTCGAGCCATCTCGGGGTTTGAAATGGCGACTATGTGTATTCACCACATCTTGAGGTGAAATATGCCTCCGTATCTGTGCGCGAGCTTGGCTAGTCCACGGTGAGTTAACTGGTCCATCATAAGCATGTTGCCGATGATCGGCAACCCTATGGGTTCCGGAGGAAATGGTTTTCTTCGGAGCTGATAAATTAGAGGGAGGAGGAAGAGGAAAGGGATGATGACGAAAAGCAGTGACATTGGAAATGGTTCCATGTTTTGGATTTTTGCAGACATGAAAGTTTCGAGTCTTTGTAAAACTGAAACTCTGAACGTTTACTAGTGTCTTTTGTCGGGGTTTTAAACAGGTTTCTCACCAACCCCTGTATTTAGAAAAAAGGCTAATTCTTATTTAGTTCCTCTTTTGCGATAAAATTTAAGATTTAATCTTTTTCTTTAATTTGACTTCATTTAGTCCTATTGTTATAACGTTGTTACTAGTTCTTGTTAAAGCATGAATTTAATTCATTTTCAACCCATCCACTACCCCAAACATAAAACAAATTTGAAAAGATAACCCGGCCCCCCTTTCAACCCATCGCTGGGGCACTCTCCGTTGGATCTTCGTTTGTTTTCTTTGACGACAAAGGTACGCTCTAATCTCAAGTTTTCTATTTTCGTTAATTATGCTGTATCAGTTCCTACGAAAACCCTCTTTGGTTTGTCAGTCGAATTTTCGCGCGTTTATTTTGCTTTGAATTCAATCTTCTCTCCTTCGTTAATGAATGATTGATTCGGAGAAAAATATAGGAAATGATCAATCCGGTTAGGAATAACGGATATGCATTTTACTTTTATTTTCTTTTCTCAATTTTAGATCAGTTGGCAATGCAAGAACAAGTAGATTCGCATCATCGGTTAATGGTGGAAAATGGTTTCCCGTGCCCACATAGTATGGATATTGATCCAGGAAGGGAACGGTTTCCATGCTGCATTGTTTGGACACCTCTGCCCATTCTTTCGTGGCTGGTTCCTTTCATTGGCCACGTTGGGATTTGCAGAGAAGATGGAACTATTCTAGATTTTGCAGTGTCTAATTTTGTCTTCGTTGACCATTTCACTTTCGGACCAGTGGCTCGCTATTTGCAAATTAACAAAGATAAGGTAATAAATTCATGTTCCAACTTCATTTTGGCTGTCATTTCTATTTCTTCTTGAATTTCATTCATTGATTAAATATAAAAATAAAAAGAGGGTTGCAATACATGAAAATGACATGGTAACTTAAACTGGATTAAGAATCCAAAATTAGGATTTATTTGTTTGGTCGTGCTGTGCAACTTTACCTTAGATGGGGATTTGATAGGGAATAACTGTACTATAAACTCCTATGCTTTCCAATGATTTGTGAATGCACTATGGCAGATTTTCTGAAGTAGGATTTATTGGTTCCATTGTGCTTCATGCGCTTGTCTTAGTTGGGGATATGATAGGGAAGAATTGTAATAGGCTACACAATCTGAATTTTTATGCTTTTCAATAATTTCTGAATGCACCATGGCAGACCTTGGACGTAAGATTTACTGGTTCCATCCTGTGCCTTGTATGGGAATCTGATGTTTTAGAACTGTAATAGATTGTAATTTGCCATGATTTTCGATCATTTTGAATGCACTATGGCAGACCTTTGAAGTAGGATCTACTGGTTCCATTGTGCTTTATGCCTTTTCTGTAGATCCGGATTTGATAGGGAAGAACTGTAATAGACTAAAATACCCTTGATTTTCAATGATTTGTGAATGCACTAGGGCAGACCTCTGAAGTAGGAACTATCATTTCCATTTTGCTTTACACCTTTGCCTTAGATGGGGATTTTTTTATATGGAGGAACTCTAATAGACTATAAGTTCATATGCTTTTGAATAATTTGTGACTGCACTATGACAGATTTGTAGGCAAAATTTTTGGAGTATTGGTAACAAAGGATGGTGTCTATAAGTTTGCACCAGTTTAGAATATAACTCGGGTTTCTTTTTAATAATTCATAGATGCACTTTGGTTTGGTTGAAATGAGAGCAAAAATTGGCATATCGATTGTTATGATCAATGCCAATGACAGGAAGTGTAGATGCCAGAAGTTTTGCTTCAGTATTTCTTTTTTAATCATTACTCCTCAGTCAAAGTTATAATCTTTGGAGTTCTTTTGCTAGGAATGCGGCATTTCTCCCCATTCATCTGCATTTAAAGGGGATCAAGAAAACCAGCATGATGATCCTAGAAGGGAGACATTAACATGGGACGATGCTCTTCGAAAAAGCACGATGGAGTTCCAACATCGGGCATACAGCCTTTTCACTTGCAATTGCCATTCCTTTGTAGCAAACAACTTGAACAGGTTAGGCTTTCATTCTGGTGGGTGGAATGTAGTGAGCGTTGCTCTTCTCGTCTTACTCAAGGGACATTGGGTGAACAGAATAGGATTTTTGCTATCTTTCTTGCCATTTGTTATTGTATCAGGTCTCGGACTTGTGTTCGGTGGAACGACATATCTGTTTTTCTTGGCCCTCTTTGCATCCCTTCTTGTTGGTTGGTTCCTTCTTGGTACTTACTGTCTCCAGAATTTGATCTAGTTGTAGCTTTTATGTTTTTCAACTCCAACTCCAACTCCAACTCCATTAATGTAGAAGATATTCTTGTAATCTTCATGGGCGTGGCTATTGATGTATATGTTTAATGTTAGTATATATTGGTGTGCTTACCTGCATCGTAACCATGCTTAAGAGATTATACTTGATATTTTTTTATCTTAATAGTTTGCTTAAGTAGATTTTCCTTATCAAAATCGCCAAATCTATAAACAGCTGGTTGTAATATATATCGGTTCAATTTTTGGTAAAAATAAACTTTTTTATAAGAGGATGGAACTCATAATCATGTGTCAAATTAAAATTTCATTCAATGGTTGTTGGTTTAGTTTTAGTTGGTATTATTGTCGGTGTAACATACAAGAGAATGTGAGAATGTAAGAGATTTGAATTCTGCGAATATAAATGAAATAAAATAGATTAAAAAGATTATATTCTAAAGAACCATTTTAATCTGATTTGGGTTAAGTAAAAAGAATAGATTTTTGTTTTTGATATAATTTTATTTAATTAAATTATTTTTAACTAATATAATTTTTATAATTATAAAATAGTAACATATTAAAATAATATTTTTTAAATGTTAGTTAAGTGATATAATAATAAAATATTATAGATACTTTTATCAATTCAAAATTTTATTCAAATTCGTGTTTATATATAATATAATATATAATATTTATTATCATTATAGGTTATACATAGATAGTGGTAGAATCGTAATTAAACCGAAACTCTAGGCCCATCCCATTGCCGAAAGCTGAATTTGCTTATTTAAATAGAGCAAAGGGAATGAGACAAAAACAGAGAGAGGCACTTTTTGCGTGACAAATTTATAGTGTTATTTTATACATTTGGATTGGGTTCTCATTTTACTTTGAAGAACTAATTTAAAATGGCAGCAGAGGAAGGCCTAGTGATCGGTTGCCACACTCTTCAGGCTTGGAACGAGCAGCTTCAAAAATGCAACGAATCCAAAAATTTGGTATTTTATTTTGTTTCCTTCATTTAATCTAATATTTTATTCGTGTTTCATTTAGCTTACATTTATGATTATTCTGTGTTTCCAGATCTGATCTGTTTTCATTTGTTTCTGGATTTAGAATTTTAATCTAAATAATTTACAATCTGTAACGTTTAAGGCTTTAAGCTTCCAGGAAAGAAAAAAAAAATTCTGTCGTCGGTGAAGAGATCTTTTTCTTTTTTAAATTTAAACAATATCTCACTGAATACAATCTTACCAGTCCATTTTACATTTTAAAACTTGGATTGAATGGATATTGGGTGATTAACGTATTCTGATACATAAAATATTTGTGGAACAGTGAACCAGGCTGTCAGTATGTGGATAGGCTTAATATTTAAAATGTTTGGTTGAATCTTTCCCTATTAAGCAGGGTTGTGACATAGAAAATGGAAAACAAATGCTAAAATAAATTAAAATTGGAGATTCATCTAAGTAAATATCCCTATATATTTTTTAATACAAAAAAATTTAGGGGGCAATTTCTCCAGAGTTATAACATAGCCTTTTTTACAATTGTTGTCCTGATAAAAAGGGAAAGGTGCTGAAGAACCACAATAGTAACGTACACTATGGAAATAAATGTGATATTATGGTGACAAATTCTGTTACTTGACCTTTTGTTTTCCCTAAATCTAAAATGTGCATTTGAATCTTCGGATATGAGTATGAGATTTTCCATATCCGATGCTGACCTCTGAAATCGGATGCCATAGCTTGTTCTCTGTAGTCATATGCTCTGACAACTTTTCAGCTTTCATTTTTCCACCTTTTAAATTGGGAATGGTATATGAGTTTTGAGGTAATGTGGTAAATGAAGGTGGTGGTTGATTTCACTGCATCATGGTGTGGACCCTGCCGCTTTATTTCACCTTTCCTGGCGGAACTAGCCAAGAAGTTCCCTTCTGTCACCTTTCTTAAGGTGGATGTTGATGAATTGAAGGTAAAAATCCAGAATTAAAATCACCAATATTCTATCAGGTGTGTTCGATATGTACGAGTCGAACAAATTTGAGTTTTTTTTTTTTTCTCAGGATGTTGCTGCCGATTGGGCTGTAGAGGCAATGCCGACTTTCATGTTCCTCAGGGAGGGTAAGATTCTGGGAAAAGTGGTAGGAGCAAAGAAAGATGAGCTTCAGCAGACTGTGTTAAAGCATATGGCTGCCTCTGGTACTACTTCTGCTTGATTATCGTATTTATTAGCACTATTATATCATCTTTTCATGTCTGGAGCAACATATTAGTATTAAAGACCTCATTCTGCCCTATTATCTGGGGTATAAATAAATCAGGCTTGAACGAATAAGATTATATTTATGTTCGTTTGATTTTAGTGTTTATGTTTAGCTCTTGTTCGTTTGTTTATTTTTGAAAATGTTCCGATTCACTTAACGTTCGCAAACATGTTTGTTTAACGTTCACGAACATGTTCGACAATCAACACTCTTTTTACTCCTTTATTTGCAAGCCAAAGAAAAATTGTGAAATTATGCCACCGGTCCTTAAATGTAAAAAAACAAACAAACAAACAAACTTAAAAATAGTCAATAAACGAGTCAAGAAATGAATAAATGAACTTGTTAGTAAACATAAATGAACTGAATTTACTATTATTTGTGTATGGTTATTTATTAAATAAACATAGAATTTTATTCATACTCTTTTATTTAGTTTAATTAAAGAACATAAATAAATTTGTATAAATAATTCACGAACTATTCATCGAATAAACACCTACTACATTTCTTAAGACTATTTTTTTTATCTAAAGTATGAGCATGTATACCGATTTTTCCATTTTTAAACAGCATACATTTATATCTTCTAATGGTATTTCCAGCTGTATCTTAAAATATTGTCTACATTATTAAAAAAAATGCCATTAACAAATATCAATATAATCTTTACGGCATTTTTTATTCACAAATCTTCTAACAAATTCTCTTTCAAAGACTTAAATTCAGCGCAGCATTCGCATTAAATTCAATATCTTGCAAATAACTATAATAGCCTACCAATAAGTTATTTTAAGTATTATGAAACTAGTTGTATTTTCATGGCAAATATATGAAACTAGTTAGAAGAGAAGACCAACCGGGTGCACAGCGGTAAAATGCGGCCGGTTTTCTGCTTCAGATTCCACAGGCAACTGTTGCATTCTCCACATTGTTGTGAAATGTGGTTAATTTGGTTATAGCTAGTGCCTCTCCATGAAGTGATGTTCTTGTGGACTTTGTTATATGAACCTCTACATAATCGCCAACGGTGGGATTTCGTTTTCCATCCATCTGATTATCTCGATCTGGCAGAGGAAGATTAGCAAATGAAACTCTATGGCCTCTATCGCTTTTGCCCACGAGCTCTGTTTCCGGAGTTTTCTTGCTCGGTCCTTCAACCAAAACAAGTTGGATGGTTCCCACCTGGGAGTCATAACGCTGACAAGTACTCTCGTGGAAAGCCTTGATAAGTTCGGTGAGCCTTCTTTGCTTCACTTCTTCAGGAACATCGTCAGAGTAGTTTCTATGTGCGTGAGTTTTCTCCCTCATGCTGTATGCAAACATGAATGCCATATCATAACCAACTGCCTTTATTAGGCTTATCGTGTCTGCGTGTTCCTCCTCTGTTTCACCACAGAAACCTGCCCAAAAAAATCCAAATGATAAAAGCGCTACTCCGGAAATTGCAGGCCGAAATGTATAAGGTGAAGATGTTTTACAGGTGGATTCACCACGCATAATTGTAAAAAATGATTGATCGTGAATGTTCATTACCTAGGATTCATCAACGATATGCCCAAAATTCTCTATACCAACCCTAGAATCCGAGGCTCTTAATTAGACGTTTAAACTTACGTATGCTTTAACTCCTACTTTATCAAAGCATGAAAGTATAAACTTGGCTCACACTGCCTATGTTTCATATGCAAGTATGCTCGAAACAAGGGCTGAAAAGGCCAACTGCCCATGTTTCATATGCAAGCATATTAACTGAAATAGAACGCCACACTAACATAACAAAACCTTACCACAAATAAAATCACTATTTATTCCGACATCTGGAATGATTGTGCGTATCTTTTGAACGAGCTCTAAATATGCCTCTCTACTATACCCCCGACGCATTCTCTCAAGCACTGTGCTACTCCCTGTTTGCGCGGGCAAATGAATACACCTGCAGATATTATGGCGGTCTCGCATCACATACAATAATTCATCTGGAAAATCTTTAGGGTGTGGGGATGTATATCTGAATCTCATCTCTGGAAACTCAGTCGAAAGTCTATCTAAGAGATCAGCAAACCGCAAGCCTGTATTTTCCACCTTACACATGCTTTTGAACCCTTCGCTCAACTCCCAACTATTTACCGGTTCAACTTCTTTTTCACTTCCAGATGTATCATTATAACTATTCACATTCTGCCCAAGAAGTGTTACCTCCTTCACACCTTTGTTCCAAAGCTCCCCCACCTCCTTCACTATAGACTCATGGGACGAGACCTCTCTCTACCTCTAGTAAATGGAACAATACAAAACGAGCACATATTGTTACATCCTCTCATCACCGACACGAAAGCCATAACTGCATTTTTTGATATCCCAACAGGACTAATATCAGCATCCGTCTCCTCGAGTGAAAGAAGAGTGTTGATCCCTTTCCGACCGTAATCAACCTCGGCAAATCTCTATAAGCATCCGGTCCGCATACCACATCAACCATCTTATCAGCATCCAGAATCTTATCCTTTAACCTTTCAGCCATACATCCTAACACCACCACTTTCGGTGGGCGCAACGACTGCGACCTTCCCGTAGGCCGTATCTACATTACTCTTCCAACCTCTTTAAAAACCAAAAATAGTTAAGCCTTTGCCACACTTTTGCTCAGCATTGTCCCTTATGGAGCAAGTATTAATAAATATGATCTCAGCAGTCCTGGGAACTTCCACTGTTTCATTATAGCCGGCATTCTTCATTATCGAAAGCACAATTTCCATATCATTTATATTCATTGACATCCATACGTTTCATGATAAATTCTACCTCTTGAAGCAACTTCCGCAATTGATTCATCACCAGCCAAAATACTAAAAAATAAGTATAGCAAATTCAACTTATATTTTTCATGCATAAGACAGAAAATATGCAAAAAATTGGGGGGGGGGGGAAGAGAAAATAAAATAATTTGACTTACTCGGGCGGCGGTCGAGAGGCGGTGAGGGAATATTGAGCAGTGAAGTGATGGAGGGAGGGTACGTCGGCGTTGAGAAGGTGGTGGGATTGAGAGAAGCTTCTGGAAACATCGAGAGCAAAGGATTTTTTTGATTGGCCTGTGAGAGAAATGGCGATGAGAATTGGGATTGGAAGCTAAAGGCGTTGAAGAGAAGAACCTAAGAGAGTTGAAACGGCATCGTCGATGGATTCTGAAGCAGCAGCCAGGCTGGCTGAAGACGGGGTCGTAGAGAGATTAATATACCTTTAACTAATATGTTTTCGTTGGACACTAAAAACTGAGGAAGCTTTTTAAGCTAAATGAGGCTATGCGCGTTATGAACAAATGTTAGAGAATGGTGTTGTCTTATCTCATGAAAGGAGATTAGTGATATATTTGAGTAATGTTTTGGTATAAGAAATTCTGATTTATCAATTTGTAGAAGAGAATATTTGGTCAATCTTGTGATTGTGACCAAATGAAAATATTACTTGGAAAAAAATCTGTTTATTACTAGAACAGATCACGAGTCTTTAAAACATCTATTAAAATACAAGTTTAAATATAAAAGAAATGCCTAACAAAATTATTGGGATTAAATTATGTTATACAATATAGAAAAGGGAGTAATTTGAATGTTGAGGCTTTATCAAGAAGATGGAGCCATAACATGAGCTACTAAAGTTAATAGTTATCGTCGTTATACCTTTTTGAGTTCAAGGAATATATAGAATTTACGAAGAGATGTGGTGTTAAAGATAAGATTACCAAAACTTTTAATGAATTTTGTTCTCTAAAAATTAATATTTACGAAAAACATGTCAAATAAATTCTAAAAAAAATATCTTAAATAGAGAAAATAAGCGTATTAAATAATAAAAATAAATATAACAATTATATATCATTAAATTTATTATTTCATGTAGCAGTATATTAACTGTTTAAGAGTCTTAAATTAATTTTATGCTATCAAAATTAATATTAACATTGACTTAGCACATTGATAACACGGATTATCTCTATTTTTGTAGGGTTATTTTGAGAACTCTTATTATTTCTTTGTTTATCTTTATGTTTCCACTTTTGATCATAAGAATAACTATTATGATCACTCTTGTAACCATTATTATTATAATATCTATTACATCATAATTATATGTATTGATCACTCTTATAACCATAAGAATAACTATTGTGATCACTCTTTTAATATATGTATTGATGTGTTCACTTCATGAAATTGAATGAATTTAATAGAGCATATTTCTTTATGCATGAAATAATTTTCCTATTTAAACAAAGTAAATGTCTCAATAACTTTTATTTGAGTTAATGATCAAATTACATAGTATCTTATATAACTCATAAATAAGTAATTATAAATTTTAACATGTATCAATAAGGAGATTACCAAATAAATAACCAAAGGCACATTAATCACGAAAATATATGAAACATTAATAATGATAATTCATTCTAAATCAATCCACAATTTAAAACTCAAAATTCCAAAGACATTATAAGTCTAAAAATTAGAGATATTTATCATCAAGTTTCAATAGGATAGAAATTAATTAATATATGATATTTTATTAATGATGAAAAATAAATAAAATTCTAATAATTAAATATTGTATATTATAAAATTTAAAATTTGTTATTAATTATATAAAAACTATCTTAAAATTTGAAATCCCCCCGACAAAAATCGGGGATTGCTTTAGATGAGATGTCAATTGAGCAACGGCTTTGGAACAAGCATTATATACTTGAATTTACTTTATTAATTAATACGAAAAGTCATTCAGCAAGGAATCAGAGTGGTTATGAAGATTCCTCTAACTTCAAATCAATTCCAGTTTTATATGATGAATCAGTTCTCATATTCTTTTGTGTCGGTGGGCATGGCAAGTCTGGTTTTCTTTGTTTTTCCTACAGTAATATTCGATATCCGAAGCACTTCTATCGGAAATTAATACATGGAAATGATCATTCCCTTGATGTCGAAAATCCAGAAAAGACCCGAGTTCCTGTGAGCAATGCTCTGCAATTTCTCTCCAACCATTCTGCAACCACACCCTTCCATCACTCTCTGTAAGCTCCACCTGCCATATTGCACCACTTGGGACCTCAAGATTAACAGGCCGTTACAGTTGGTTTCCGTTCAGCCGAAGAAGTATCGATAGTGTTGTTAGAATTCAAACAATATCGGTTCGCAAAGTACATTACAACAAAGCAGCAAAAAATGAGGATAGCTAAAACAATGTTCACATACGCATATTGACAGATGCAGCCTCTGGGTGGTGGTGAAGCATTTCAGTCCACATCATCTCCCTAATCATCAGTTCTCTCATGTTCTCATCTGTCTCTAGATCGATGGCCCTAATAGGTAAGGATATAGGAGTGTTTTTCTGTGGCTGTAACTCTCTTTGATAGGTGGAAAACAAGCATCCTTTGCAACAAATCTATGGCCAACAGACCGACTTGTGGGTATAAATGGGAAAAGTGGACGCCCCTAGAGTACTGAAGCGACTTGATACACCTTCGAGCTTTGGGATTATCAACAAACTGAAGATCAGACTCTTGTTGGCATCCAAGAACATTGATAATCAGCTTAAGCTGGTTGAAGCATTCTGTTCCAGGAAAGATAGGTTCCAACCAAGAATCCCTGCAAAGATGAATCCTACTGACCAAACATCGATAGAGGTCCCGTAATTGTCACACAGAGTAGGAGCACAGGTGAACGGTACCAGCGGATGACAATATACTCAGTCATTGATTGTCCGTTGCCTCAGATGGTTCGGGCCAGGCCAATATCACATATCTTTAAGTCACAGTTAGCAACTACTTTGCATTGACAAGGAGGTTTCCGGGCTTCAAATCTCAGTGAAGGCTGTTTGCTGAGTGGAGGTATTACTGATAAGAAGGCATATTTTCGTACTTTTCTATTACGGATAACCAAATAGAATTGAGGGAAGTGAACAAAAATGATTTCTATCTTCAAGGTTAGATAGTGTGCCAGTCAGGTAATGAGAACAGTACAAAAGTGCATTTGTTTTTTTAATAGTATGAGGTGATTATAAGCTATTATTTGTTTATAATCTTTCTTAACCATTGACAACGTATATGCACCTTACAAACATAACTGCTCGAACCTAAGAATTCAAAAGAGAATAACATTCCTTTAACTTGTGAGGACCTCAATGAGAACAGTAGAAAACTGCAGTTTTTCTAAGAATGGTTGGGTGTATGGACCAATTAATTATTGTCAACATGGTAACTTTGATGGAACACAAAATGACAGCAAATCAAAATAACAGAAACTAGGAATTAAATATGTATATTAACTTCAATAAAATAAAAGTATTTAGATTAACACTGACAATAATCAAATTCCCCAGCATGTTTCTAGGGAAGTTACATTTCCTTGCCTTCTAAGATTCTGGTTTATAAACCAGGCAGATAGAAAAAAAAAAGAACAATAGAAAAAGGTCGGACTCATGCATGGCGACAGGAATAATATATATGTACATTGGTCCGTGCAGCCCAATTTAATGATCAAATCAAAACTTTGGATTGGCAACTTATGAGAGCATTGATAGACGACCAGAGTGCATTTGAAGGGTGTGGGTTGGATTGGCCTTCTTAAGAAACAAATCGTTCCACCGTCTCTATTTCCTCGGCATCTGTCAGCTTTCAGCGTCTCATCCTTCACCAAAACTGGGACCACGAGCAAATTGAGGTTACGAAATGAGAAAGGTTCATAAGCTAACGATAAGAAAAAGGGGCAATATTATGATCTTAATAGCTTACCAATAAAGTCCTCTTCTTCTTCTTCCTTTTTTCAATATATTCCGCGAGCTCCTGCTGCTGAGCAAATGAGTCCTCTAGAGCCTGAAAATGCAAGGCGATGACAACGGCAATCACTTTTAAGTCCTTACAACACCGGAACACTAAAGATTAAGCTTTGCAGTTCCTTTTTCTTCTTTTTTATATCTCACACTCGGGTACACTAGTGTTTGATATGAGTTTGTTAAAAAAATTCAAGATTTCCATGTATTTTAATGGTACTTGAAGGACTAAAACCCTAGATATGAGTCTAATTATAATACTTCAAGAAAAACGAAGAGTAGAAGCAATATAGATAGGTGCAGTTATAGCTTGTGCTAATCTGATAGTCAATTATATGACGTACATGATTCCATAAAAAATAGCAACAATTTACCTTCTTGGTTGCCATAAGCTCTTGCTCCAAAGCATCAGCCCGCCTTAGAGCAGAATTCAACATTTCTTCCTTCTCAGGGGGCATTGTTGTAGATTGCATGTTGATAGCAGCTAGTCTGGCTTCCAACTCAGCCATACGTTTCATGACTGACTCCAACTCATTAGGAGTGATGCTTGCTTGGGGTGGAATTTCCTTGATCTTAACCGTTAAGGGAGCCGGAAGTGCAGGCCTGACATCGCTGGCCTTTATCGGCATGTTACGTGTCACTTTCACCATGGTGGCAACTCCCATAACAAAGGTCATCACACCATTGAAAAGAGGAGAGCTAATCACATCAGGGGTCTTGCGATTTTCTTGCTTGGTAAAAGAATCTGCAATTCCACAATAAATCTTAGCACCAGCGATAATTTAGGATCCTAATATAGTACCTTAGACACAGTTATAACACAAAGAAAATAACAAATGTGACATTGACGCATGATCAAGGAACATGCAGAGCAAATCACAATCTGAGTAAGCCATGTACCTTTTGGTAGAGGAGCAAAATTTTCATTTTGCTGTCTTTTCTGCAAAGCCATATCCGTAGGTTCTTTAACCACTGGAACAATTTCCATTGAGGCCTTTGGGACCTGGGAATTTCAGAAGAAAATGGAGGGGGTTAAGGGAAAGCATGTAAATTCCATCAGGTCAATATATCTAGGAACTCTGCTCAAAGTACTATGTTGATAGGCCTTGCATTGCATCCTCTAAGGCTGGGACATTTTTCACTATTTGTTTGACATTTTAGGTCCTGAAATATCCAAAGAAGGCTGCTAAACTTACAATATCCAGCACAGGGGCGGATTCCGAATGCTCAATTTGATTATTTGATTGTTTATCTGCTGCATCTGGAACTGGCACTGCATCCAAGGAATCACTAGCCACTGGCGTAGCCTGTGAAACAAACTACTTGGTCAAGCGATGAAAAAATAAGAGTCAGAGTAAAACAGGGCATCAATGTAGAGGGAAAAAGAGCAAGAGAGGTGCATGTTGACAGAGAAAGTAGAACCTCTGTGAGCACAGTTTTATCCTCTGAAGTTTTCTCTTCAATGCTTTCAGCCTGAGATTGCTTTGAGCCTTTATGTGCACCACTTTGAACCATCTGCAAGTCAAAAGAATTGGTTAGGAGTGCCTTGAATCCTGATTACAAACTATACTAGATAGTCAATATGACTGCAACTGATAAAACAGAAAGAAAAACAAATGAGTGGATCACCTTTATGATCTCTGGGTCCTTCCATGGACCCTTGTCGGAAACCATGCAACCACCATGTTCAGCACAAGTGCAAGTGCCTCCCAAAAAATCGGGTAATTCACTGGTATAAAGCTCGGACATCAAAAAAAAAAAGGTAGATACATACGAAAAGAAAGGAAGCAACACCAGTAATTTGTTGCAACATGAAAAATAAACAAAATTCAGATTATCTGATGGGAATATACCTTTCATCAATTATTTCAAGTAAATTTTTCTGAAATTTGTTACCAAGAACCTGGGATGTAATCGGTTTCACCAATTAGTTTCTTATTGGTTAAAAATTGCAAATTCAGGTATGAGGAAGAGAATGTAATATGTATTCTTACATTGATCTTGGCTGTGGTCTTAGGATCAAGGAAAGATTTGACAGAGTTCCACAACATTCTAAATCCAGAACCGGCATTGATGATGAACATGCGGTTTAATGTCTGCAGAAAAGGCAAAGGCATTGCACATCACAATTCCATCATTTAAAGTTTGAAACATCATACGAAATCAAAATCTTGGCTATTATGCATGAATAATGTTAAGGAAATCAGTACCTCAGGATAATTATCACCGTCAATCTTCTGAAGACTACCTACAAGGTCCCTTGCAGCTTTAGTGAAGCTCTTAAGACCCTGTGTCATTAACTCAAAATTAAGACAGAAGACATTCTTATAAATGATTAAAAGTTTCCTTTATTTGTAAAAATAACTGAATTGGACGGTTAGAGTTTGAAATGAGCATTTCCTTTTTGTACAAAGAAGGTTGAAGAGTACAGCAAGAAGAACCAGCAGGATTAAGTCCGGATGTGTTAAAGTGAGAATTGAGTTTGTTGTATCATAGATATAGTCATTATTGAATCTCACTTACCACTCCATTCACATCCAAGATTGTTGTGCTTTGATCAATATGCTTCTTGGCTGCAATTGAGCAAGCTGGAAACTTCATTTGGAAGGTCTTCTCAAACTCCCTTACATGGTATTTGAGATAGCGGTCCATTGTAGTGACTTGCATGAGCTTGCCAGCATCTACCATACCTAGTCTTTCTATATAAACTGGCCGTCCATCCTTATCTACCCCATGGTACGCTTGGGGATAATATTTCAACACTTCTGAATGCTCCTTGAAGTCAAAGTCCTAAAAGGAAGAAAATGAGTCATCTTCAAGAGAATTTTTTAAAAAGGCAATATTCGACAGGAACCTTAAACAAATAGAAGAATTCTATGTTCTGCAAGACGAATACCTCAATAATTGTGTCGGTACCAAATCCCTGCCTCCATTGGAGCATATTAGTCCACATTTCCTTTGTTTTCTCCATGTCAAATCTTCTGGCCTTCAAGAACCTGCATAATAGAGAGATCGTTAATGTTGTAACTTAAATATAATATAATTGAGCATTCTCTTATTAACTGAAATCTTGGGGTATAAATGACCACTTAAATCAGACTGTGCATTGCTGCTCAAATCTTTCTTGAACTTGCATTCTACAATTGGGTTCACATGTGAACCCGTTAATCATCCTGCTTAGACCCGGATACATGCTGGAACTTAAAGTCTTATAACATAACAGTGTTTTTCTCTACAACAAAAATATATGAACCTATGTTATACAAACTCGGTCTGAAATAGATATGCTTCAACTTTTAAGAAAAAAATCATATATTTAGAAGATTATACTTCCGTACTCATCCAAATATTCAGACATGAGTACTTCTAAGGGAAATGAAGAGTCTGGAAAGATAGAAACCTGAGCAATGTATGATAATCATCATGTCTTGCAGGTAGCTTGTCCTCCGATATAAGTGTCTGACGCAAGGCATCAACCGACTGCAACTCCTCCGGATTTCGCTCATCATCAATTTCAATAGACAATACCTTACTGCTCCTCCTACCTCTCTTTGACATTGAATTCCGGAGTTTATTGGATGCACTCCTTGCCGTCGTCTTAGCGGACCCGTCCATACCTGATACAATGAACAAATTATTAACATTGAAATGCATATATACGAAAAACCCGAAACCAATCCAAGCATTTCATCTACTAACATTAAGTTTTGGTTTTTGATCGGCCATCAATAACAGAAAAACAACTAAATAATATATCACCGGAATACCATTACAGTTATGCCATAAAAAATGACCGTGCAAATCAACATTCAACAGTAGAATCAACAAAAGCATTCTCCACCAATGACAACAATCTATTCAAAGGTTTATGACCGGGTTCCAGTACGTTTCACATGCATACGCTTTCATTTAAGATATCTCCCGTTTTGAGCATGCATACGATTTCATTTAAGATATCTCCCGTTTTGAGCAACACTGATTCCTTAAGGATCTGTCATTCCAAAATGCACCTCCATTTAATATATCGTCCTTTTTTAGCACCACTGATCCCTTAAGAATCTGTCATTCCAAAATGCACCTCCCTTTATTCAAACTAAGAATTTGCCTTGGCCCTTGAGAAAAGATCTCTCTCAAATGAGAAGCTCTTCATTTGAACCAACATATGCACACTTTCGAGTGACAAATCCTTGGATGTAAGCATACGTGGGAGAGACGTCCGAATCACATAGGACAACACAGAAATGTCCTAAAATCAATACATTAAAAGGAACATGAAAATGTACAATGAGATTAAACAGCAAAAAATAAAAAGGGTTCTAATTCATGTCCTATTCCCATACATATGAACATGTTAATAGAAAATCTAACCATGCATGAAGATCTAAAAAAAAATACGTAAAAAGGGGGGGGGGGGAAGGCTTTAGAATCAGAAAACCTTGGGTCTCAGCCGTTATTTGAATCAATTAAGGATTTTTTGCAGACAGAGAAACAGTAAAGGGTAGAAGATTCAAGCAGTCGTTTTATCGTATATCAATCGACCCCCCTGGATTCAAATCTCTGCCAATACAATACTAAATATTACTAACAAACATTCAAACATTTAAGAAAACATAAAACCCAGAGAAGACAACAAAACTAGGATGTACCTCTGCGACGTGGGAAGGAGGATAGTGGGTATGTTAATATAACAGAAAGCACAGTAACTCATTTTCCATGGGATTTTTCAGCTTTCGTGTTCGAAAATGGCGGAGAGACAAAGAGGCAGAAAACGACATTCCAATTATTAAAGAAGAAAATGGGTCCGTCTCTCTTCTTTATTTGGCAATTAGCCATTGATGAGCTTTGACTAAATCTTCAACACTCGTCTTGACGACAGGTTTGGCCGTTTTGTTTTCACTTTCGAATATATGAATGATAATCGCCCTGTTTTTTGGTTGCAGATTACAAATTTGAGCGACATGCAAGGCCTTTCCATTCAAAAAATGTTGGGACTCAGGGAATTCATCTCAAACCACACGCCATTTTCCTCTTTTCGCGGCAAATTCATACGACATTTGTCTAGGCAATTGCCATTCGTTGGGTTGGAGATGTCCATGGAGCTTGGCTTTGTCCAAATGGTATACTACACATGACATTACCTAATATAAAGGAATTTAATCTGACATCCAAACTTCTAATTTTATCAATTAGGTAATTTAATTATTTAAATAATATCAATTAAATTACCCAGATTAAAAAACTGAAGTAATAATTAATATTTAAGGAAAAATTGAAAGGGACTAAACACATCAAACCAATAGATCATATCATATATATTTGAAATTCGGATTACAATAATTTTTATTATTTTAAAGATTTGATGTCATAAAAAAAATAAGAGTCGTCAAATCAAAATTTTAAATCCAACTTATTTAAAGAGTATAGCAATAGTTAATAATCTTTAAAGTAAGTGATTAAAAACTCTCAGTTGATACATTTATTCTCTACTAAGGTTCTGTTTGTTTAGCTATAATTAGTTTTTTAAAAATTGAATTCTGGAAAATGAATTATATTTTCTGGAAAATATTTTTCGGAAAATGTTTTCCAAGAAAATGAATTATTTTTTCTGGAAAAACGTTTTACGATATTTGGAAGATGTTGTTTAAACATTTTTTCCACTAGTTGATGAATTTTAAAAAAATATTTATTACAAATATTAAATACAATAAATAATATTATTTATCATAAACTTAATATAATTATTTTTAAAATATTAAAATTATTTATTTATTATTAAATATTATTTTTATAATTTTATTAATAAAATTATTAATATTGGTATATTTTATTGAAATAAAAATATTATAAATTATATTAATTATTTATTAAAGTAATAGTATTATATTATATTTTAAAAATATTAATTAGTATATTTTAAATACCTTTATTAAAATATTATTAGATTATTAGATTAATATTAAATATATAAATAATATTATTCATTATTAATTATTTAATAATATTATTTCTATGAAATTAATAAATAATATAAATTTTATTAATAATTTATTATATATTATTAAAATAAAAATATAATATCTTATATTATATTATATTATTATAATATAATTGATTATTTTATTATAATTGATTATTTTATTATAATATTAAAAATATAATATTATATTATTATAAATATTAATAAATATTTTATAAATATTTTAATAATTAATATTTTGACTAAAATGATATTAAAATATTTAATTAATATTAAATTCAGAAAAATAAAATTATTTTGAGTATTTATTCTTTGAAGTGAAAAGTTCAGAAAATCAGATCGTAAGTCATTTTCCAAAAGACATAAAGGAAATTATGTTGACCAAGAAAATGTTTTACGTTGACCAACTAGTTTTCCTCAAACCAAACACAAGAAAATATTTTTCCGAAAAACGAATTACGTGAAACAAACACGGAATTTCGGGGAACACCAATTTCATAATTGGTTTTTCCCCAAACAAACAGACCCTAAATTATGAATTCAATATCTATTAAAAGTAAAATTTCTCTTTCCCTTCCTTTAAGTAAGAATTATTAGAAAAAATATATATAAAAACACTTAAACAACTGAAACAAATCTAATAACTAATCTACAATTTAATAGATTATATATATATATGAAATTATAGTTCATACAAAGTTCAAAATTAAAATTAATTTAAAACTTTATATTAAATAATATTTTGTTTAATTGTGAATTTCGTCTTTTGTTTTATGAGAGTTCTTTTAACAATTTTTACTTAATGAAAGAAAGATTAAAAAAATTTACTTCTAATAAATATTGAACCAACGACCAAAAGAAAGGTATATGAATCATTTATATTTTTAAAACGATTCACATATATTATAAGTCAACTATACATTGACTCAAAAATTAGAACACTACAAATACTTAGAAATTTAGGGGGAATAGTATTTTTAAAATGTTACAAAAATATTTATTATTATTATTAATACCTTTTTACTCGATAGAAATAAGGGGCAGATGTACACTCCAATAGGAGTAATTGAGAAAATGTTAATTTTTCTTTATTTTTTTTTTTTTTTTTTTGAGAATAGAATGAACTTCGGTAAAAACCCTTTTATAACTCGTTAAGTTAAACTTCAAACGAGATAGAGAAAGGAAAAAAATACCCAAAATTACTATTACCAGTGCATTAAGGAAAGAGAAAATTATAAAATAATTTACATATATATTATTTTAAAAAATAGAATATTAAAATTTTGGTCCTTTATATTATAATTTCTAAATTCGTTAAAAAATTATTACTTTTTTATATTAATTTTTTACTATAACCCAACATCCTTAGGTTTATAACAACAATTTTTAGGTTTAAGCAGTTGTGTTTATATAATATATGTGTATTGTTAATAGATTAAGAAAATTATGAAAAAAATGTTATCTTGGTATAATCATCTGTATTCGATTTATTAATCAACTAATCTATATTAGGTACTACAGAGGCGATGGCGACCCTCCTAACACAATTTGCTCTATTCGCAAACATCAAGATTTGAATCCCTAATCTTACTTAAAGAATTTAGTGTCTCGTCCTACTAAATCAATTGATTGTTGATTCAATTTAAATATATTTGATTATTATCATATTTAGCTTTATTTTTTATGATTTAAAAATTAAAATATTATATTATAAGATAATAATTATTTATAAAAATAATTTAAAAAGTAAAAATAGTATATATTAAATTTAGATATAAATAATTAGCAACAACCAGTTGATCTAGTGGGATGGTGTAACACCCATTTCCCGTATATGTTATCGCATATGACTCCAGGATGTCACATAGTTCTTTCAATATAATCCTTATTCAAAAATCAGTAAAATTTTATTTCTTTCTAAAATCATTCAACTAGTATCAATAATCATAATATATTTCGTCACGATAGCAATTAAATCACTTAACTAAAATATTAATCAACAAAGCTTTATTTATAAACAGTAATAATAAATACTATCCATCAAAACCAAATTCAAACATAACTATTTTTAAGTATCACAAGCATTTAGTAGTATATGTCAACTAGTACTATCAACATTCAAAAAGATGACATATTGATTATGGAGTGGATCTAATATTCAAAAGTTGATGCTGGGCCAAGCTCCTTACTATTAACGATCTTCTTTTCCTACATGTGAAAATCATCACACGCTAAGTATACACTTAGTGAGGCATTATAATTTTAATAATAGTAAAAAGTAAAACATATGTATAGCAAAAAATAGTATATATATATATATATATATATATATATAATATGAAAACATTATATATAAAACTACTGATTCGTAATTCATTAAACCATAAATAAGATATTCAACATCAAACCAAATTCTCATTAAAAGTATTGTTATCAATTCATTCAAGCATGTATGTTCACATATCATGTCATATCACAATCTAATGTATGATAAATGAGAATACATAGTACATGATCACATACATATGCAGTTTAACTACCTTGTAAACAATTTGCACTTTTAGTATCATATAACTCATTTTCAATCAAATAAATAAATTAGTATATTTTCATTTCATATCAAACTTGTACCTTTCACTTTATTCATTTCACATCAAACATGTGCCTTTCATTTTATTCTTTTCATAGCACAATGTAAACCACTGAGAATGCAAGGTATATGAGTCAGATGAGCATATACATAAATAGCACCATCGTTACATAAGTAACGTCGGACATGCTAGGTACGATTGAAAGTAGCACTACCGTCACACAGACGTCAAACGTGCTAGGTACCATTAATAGTAACACCACCGTCACACGGACGTCAAACGTGCTAATTATCATTAATAGTAGCATCACCGTCACACAGACGTCAGACGT